CAGCGGCCCCTCAACGTCTACATCTGCTGAGAAGCATACAAATGTGACAAATAATTACCATAACTGTAACTTTTATTATTCCATTAATAAATGAGATTGCTGTTAAATATTATGATATACACTAATTATTTATTTCTTAATGTCGTATTTCATTCGAGAAATAATCTCACTAAATACCACTCGAGCTTTAAAATTGACCATATAATTTTTCACTATGGCACGTTTTCCTTACAAATTTAATTATGGAAAACATGCAATCGTGAAAAATTATCGGTAATTTCAAAGCTCTCGTGGTATTACCCCCGAAAATTTATAAATAGGGGAGGGTAGGGTGGTTTAAGTATCGCTAATGGATAGGTTTCGTTACCTGGGAAGCGCCCGGAAGATTCGGGGATGATCTTCATAGTCCTCGTTGCGAATTTCCACCAACACTTTTCCCATATGCCGTCCAGTGCTCATAAAGCGGAACGCCTGCTCCACTTCGTCGTGGGCAAACACTGTGGTGCCTAAGGGCTTGACGACTCCTGAAAAGTGGAGGTGAGAAGTTGCACGACTAGGGCGGGCCTTTGGGACCTGAGTCGATGAATTGTTGGAGCAATAGGCGCAGTTGCTGCCTCTCGCTGTCCGACTCATTGAACAGCCGATCCAGCATCACCCCATGGTAACTGCTTCCGTTCCTAAAGGGCGATAGTTGAAGGAGGTTGTCGTTGGCCAGGTCGAATTTGCCGATCTCTAAAAATCGCCCATTGCTCGACAGGCATCTGACTGAAGCGCTGAGTTTCTCCTCGGCCAGGGAGTTTAGGATGATGTCTACGCCCCTGCCCCCGGTTTCCCTGAGGACCATTTGCTCGAAACTCACGTCCCTGGAGTTTCCAATGTGAGACTCTAGAGGAATTATCAGACTATGAAGGCGTTCACGGCCGGTTAAATTGCATTTAGGAATGTTTTTCGGGCTTGGAAGCCCTGGTTCATGGGAATTTCTTCCTGACGTTTCGTCCACAACTGCGGTGGACATTTTCAAAGGCGATGAGGCAGTGGGCGAAGTGATCTCCCGTGCTTTCCGACTAAGACGGAACTGTCTTACGTCACGAACGTCA